AAAAAGAAAGAAAAATGCCGTACAATATCACTTATATTTGGAATCTTAAAAAAAGGACACAAATGAACTACTTGTTTATAACTTAGATGATTAATTTCTTGAATATGTGTAAGCACATTTGACTGTCCTTTATGATTGGGTTACTGCGTTCTGTTGATTCTTATTTTGTAGTTGTCTTTATTTCTTTGATAACTGTGTAAGTTTAAAAGGCAAAGCTCTAAAAAATTAATAAAATAAAATACATAGGATAGCAAAGGAAACAAATTATATCAAAACAGTTGTCTAAACACTAGAAGAATGTGTGATAGAGTAGTATATTTGCTTCTTTAGCCCAAGCGTTGATCTAATAAACTCTTGTGATTTCACTGTATTGATGTGCATGTATGACATTCTGAGAAATCTGTAACAACTGTCAGGAGATTTGAAAATAACTGCAATTTCTGTCAATGGCAAATTCTATGGTGGTTTATTGCCTACATTCATAATTGAAGCAAATGCTAACTTTCAACTAGAGACTGGTGAAAATAAAGATGTCATGCCCCCCACCAAAACCCTCAAAAAACAAAAACCAAATATTTCTGTATCCTTATGATTTGCTAGGTCTGGCATAAACACCATATGGCTAGATTTGTTAATTTTCATCCAAAATGACAATCTCTGACTTTAACTGGAGAGTATATCCCATTAACAATTTTTATTACTGATTATGTAATAAATACATGAATTTCAAATGTGAACGTATTCCTACCTTCTTACATTTTGCTTTCTATTTTTCCTGCCATTTCCTAAATCTTTTTCTACTTTCTTGACTTTTAAATATTGATTTATGTGTTTTTGCTTGTTTTTCTCATTGTCTACCTCATGATTAAAATAATACATATTACAATAGTAATAATATGAAATTATTCAAAATATTTGGAAATGATAAGGGGATCAACTTTTCTGCCACATACAGTAATACAATGATCAGTCACTCCAATACGCGATACAGTGAGGTGCTGGTGTCAGAAGAGACAAATGTATCCATTGAGGCCTGTGACAGTGTTCTGCAGATTGGCGCGCACCTGGCCGTATGATTTCTCTGTAACCATGTCCTTCAAATTTTGGGTAGCACAGCAGCTCCACAAGGGGTCTTGAGCAAGCGCAAACGTAACAAGTTCAAGAAGGGGCGAGGCTGAAGTTGATTCCGGAGCCGGAAGTAACTCTTCTAGCGTTTTCGCTGCACCTGCCATGAGGCTCTCCACGGTGTAGCGCCCATTCCGCGGCGCTGAGGTATCTTGTGAGGGCTTTGAGGAGGGACTGTGGGTTTTTTAATTGGAGGGGTGGGTGTGGGGTCATTGAAGGGGATGTGGGGGTTAATAATCGGGATCTTTGGTGTAAATACGGGGACTTGTTCTAATTTGAGTGCTCAGATTCTTAACTTCCGTCTTTCTTCTTATATTGTCATCTTAAAGTTCCATCTAAGACCGCAGGTGGGTATGTATTGTTTTCATTTTTAATTTCTAAGTATTTTCTAATTTCAGTTAGTTTTCTTTTTACCAAGAGTTACTTAGAAATGCCTTTTCAATTCTCAAAAGTTAAGCCTTTTGTTTCTAATGCAACTTATCTGTGCCCTATGTGTACTTAGTCATTGGAAATTGTTTAGACTTCCTTTAAGACTATGTCCATCGTCAATTTTTATTAATATTGCATCTCTAGCTCGAAAATAGTATGTGTTCTCCAGTTGATAATTGTCTTAATCAAAAAGTGTATATTCTTTCTGTGTATGTGTGTGCTTGCTCTTTTTATCTCCAAGAGTAGTGATTTGTATGTGTATAACACACGCATTTTCCAAAATATGTATATTTTTATATTTTACTAAGTGTTACTGGGTTCAGGTAGGAGTACTTTTCAGGATAAAGATTGCCAAATTATTCTAGGTGAGTGAATCAGGGCAGTTGGGGCACCGCGTGGTGTGTGCATGTGGTGGGCGCAGGGCGTGTGCACGTACGTGGTGGTGCTGGCCTGGCTCATCACGTGGGAGGTAAGGCAGAACCAGAACAGCGCATGTGCAGGAAGTGGGGCGGGGCATATGAAGCTGAGAGAGTGTGGGAAGGGGGCAGGGCCTGGCACAGGGCAGGGCTGGGTTTGCCCTGGTGCAGCGTATGGGGCACTTAGCGCTGGGAGCCTTAAGGCGAGACAGAGAGTGTCCAAGAGGGCAGAGTCGGGCACGTGGAGCCTGGAGAGACTAGGCCTATGGGGCGGGGCAACAAGATAGGCAGAACGTGTCTAGGGGCGGGGCCATGAGTGTTCTGGCGGGCTGGGCAGAGGGGGCTTGTCAGGGTCCACTGTGCAGGGCAAGCAGGGTAGCAGGTGTGTCCTGGAGGGTGAGCAAGGCAGGCTGAGCCGTGCGAGTGTAAGGAGGTAAAGTCTAGTTTTTCTGGGTGGATAGGCAGGGCCTTATGCATTCGAGTGGGCAAGGTGGAGCCAGATAGACTAGCCAAGTGTGCCTGAATAAGGTGGGCAAGCAGGGCCAGGTGGTGCCAGTCATTCCCAGGTGTATCCAGGCCGATGCTGTGGGCCCCAGCCACAGTGGCCAGAGAGTGAGGCCAGGAGTGCTGGGGCAAGATGAGCCCCTCCCCACCCGCTTAGTGCTGACCCAGAGCCCTCCTCCCATCAGCACAGAAACCCTTTTTGTAATCCCTGGTCTCTGGTGGATCCAGGACACAGGATGGATGGGGGAGTGGAGCCGGTGCGAGAGTCTGCCCTTCAGCTCTTACCTGTAACACCATCGGAAACTTTGCCATGGTCCCACTGGCAGCTGCCCACTCAGTCACAGCTGCCTCAACTGCAGAAGTCTGGGCTGTCCTAGGAGTACCAGGTGGTGGTGATGCCACTGGCAGTAAAGGAAGCACCTCAGACAACAGCTCCACACCAGTTGTTGTCTGAAAAGGACCTGCCTCAGGACTGAAACTTATACCAGGAGTTTTGCATAAGAGACTTTTGACAATCAAAGCCTGATAAGTGTCTGGCAGGGCCCCTGGGTAGAAGGATGGGGACAGTGAAGACAGGGAGGGTCAGCAATGAGGAGAGAGGAGGCAGGGAGGGCCCAAAGATCCCTTAAGAAACAGGTTGCAGAGACATCAGCTTTTTCCTGGCCTACAACCCTGGATGAATAACATTGAAGGGTTCCGGTTCTTAGATTCTGACTGCAGAACCAAGCAGTGGATATGAAGAAAATGGAGAATTTGAAGAGAAAAGTGGAGTGGAAGGTGACAGAAATGGTGGAGTGGGGGGCATGGAGGCAGAGGTTGGGGGCGGGATGCAGGACAGGAGTACAGGGTTAGGGGGCTGACATTGACTCCCCTGTCCTGGCCTTGACCACTTGTGTCCCACAGAAGGAGAAGAACCAGAAGCAGAAGCTCAAGGGAGAGTGTGAAGACCCAGAGCAGTCAAAAGTCAACGACTCAGCCTCGCTGTGGCAGTGCCTGGGACCCGGCTGTGTGTTTCCCACCCGGCCAGGCTCCAAGTACTGCTCGGATGACTGTGGCATGAAGCTGGCAGCTGAGTGAGTGCACTGGGATTAAGGAACAGGGTGTGGAGGGTAGGTCCATCCACCCTCCTATACCCAAGTATCCTCCTATCATTTATCCCTCCACCCACCGATCTGTCCATTCTTACATCCACCTACCTGCTGAACCACCTATCCACGTTCCACCCACCAACCCACTCAGTCATCATTACTCACTCAGCTATCTACCTATCCAGGCAACCGTCCACCATTTAATCACTCACTCACCAGCAATCACTCATCTACCATTCATTAGCCTAAATCTTCACTATTTGGTCACACATCCATTTCTTCTTCTTTGAATGCCCCCACATACCCATTTCTTGTTGTCCCCCCTTCCAGCCGCATCTATGAGATCCTGCCCAAGAGCATCCAGCAGTGGCAGAAGAGCCCCTGCATTGCTGAGGAGCTTGGCAAGAAAATGCTCGAGCGCATCCACCGTGAACAGCAGGACACCCACACTCGCCTGAAGGAGTTAGAGTGCCATTTCAACGAACTTGAGGCCATCATTCTGCGTGGCAAGCAGCAGGCTGTGTGCGAAGATGAAGAGGTGAGTGGGAATGGGTGGGGTGGAGCCGAAAGGTGCCTGGTATCTTGCCTTGCCATCCCCACTCTGCACTGCTTCGCTGTCCCCTCTGTTGTCCTATGCAGAGCAACAAACCTGGCAGGAACAGTGTCGACCTGCAGATCTTCTGTGTCTCCTGCGGGCAAGCCATCAGTGTGCATGTTGCCCTGCACCACATGGAGCGCTGCTTTGTCAAGGTTGGGGCATTGGCTGGGAGCAGATGGGGCAAGGGTGTTTTTGGCTGGGTGGAGTCCCTGGGGAGCGGGGGCAGGTTTGGTACCTGGGCGTTTGTTGTAGATAAGAATACAACACACACCCATGGCTCTACCCATTTGTGCTTTTCTTCCATCCCCAGTATAAGGGCCAAGATTTGGGCATCAGCTACTGGTGGCAGGGGCATTAACTGGGCAGACAGCATAGGGTCCACAGGGGACAAATGGGTTGTTTGGGGCTCTGTCATGGGAGGGCATTTGGTCTATGTCCACAGTTCCTCCCATTTCTACTCTCTTTCCCCAGTATGAGTGCAAGTCGACCTTTGGATCCTTGTACCCCACTTGCATTGAAGGGTGAGTGTGGGTGCTACTCAGGGTCAAAGGCATGATGTGGGCAGGGGCGGGAGCAGGGTGGGCAAGATCAGGGGCAGGATGTGGGTGGGCTCTGAGACAGAGGTAGGTGGGTTAGGGGCAGGGTATGGGTGACGTTGGGGACAAAGTGTCGGCAGGGTACAGGGTGGGATCACCCTCCTCCTGACCCTTAGTTTCTCACTTTGACCCTCTCCCTAGAGCCACAAGGCTCTTCTGTGATGTTTACAACCCACAAAGTAAGAGATACTGTAAGCGGCTCCAGGTGCTATGCCCTGAGCACTCAAAGGACCCCAAGGTGAGCCTTTTCTTTCTCAACCTCATCAACCTCCCTTCCTCCCTTCCTCCCTACCTGGCCACCCTCTTCCTCTTGTCCTCCGTACTTGATTGCCTCCATCCCTTCTTCCATCTGCCTGAATGCCTTCAGACCTCCTGACCAACCCCGCTGTGTCCCCTCCTCCCTTCCTAACCACCCTATACTCCCCTTTCCTCATGGCCAAGTCACCTTCCAGCCTTACTTTCCTCTCTGCCTGGCTGCTATTTATTTATTCATAACCTCCTTGCCTGAGCCGCCCGCCCCCCATTTCTCTCTGTCTCCGCCTGACCAGCCTCCATTCCTCTGCTCCCTTCTTCATAACCATTCCCTCTTGTTCCCATCTCCTCGCTTGCCCATCCTCTGTTCTTTTCCCAGCCCCTGCCTGACTACCCCACCTTCCTCCCCTCCTCCCTGCATGGCCACCCTCAATTCCTCTCTTCTCTTTTTCTGACTTCCCTCCATTCCTATTCTCCCTGCCTCACTGCCCCAATCACCTTCTCCCTGCCTATCATCTCCTTAATCCCTTCTCCCTCCATGTTTAATCAGTCCCTGTACCTCCCACCCTCCAATTTCATCCCTCGCCTCCTCCAGTGTCTTACCAGTCCCTATTCATCTAATTCTCCCTGTCAGACCTCCCCTCCATCCTTCTTCTCCTTCCTCTTTGACCTCTTTCTGTTCTTCTGCCCTTCCTGCTGGATCACCTCCATTCCTACATCCCTGCTTAACTTCTTCTTCCATCCTTCGTGCTTGATCACCCCCGTTTTGCCCCCTCTCCTTTACTTAATCACTGAGTTCCTCTCATCCCCCCTGCCAGGTCCCTCCCCATTCCTCTCCTACATGCCAGACTGCCCTCCTTTCCCTTCTTCCTCTCATCTTGCCTGCCTTTTCACCCTCCATTGCCACCCTCCTCCATCATCCTTCATTCTTCCCCGCAGGTACCTGAGGATGAGGTGTGTGGTTGCCCACTAATGCAAAATGTCTTTGAGTCCACTGGTGATTTCTGTCGCCTCCCCAAACACCTGTGCAGCCTCCATTACTGCTGGGAGAAGCTGAGACGTGCCGAGGTGGACCTAGAGCGTGTGCGCACGGTAGGCTATGAGGCTGAGTGGGGCTGAGGGGCGGGATTGGGTCTAGAAGCCCCCTCTCACACTCACCCGCTCACAGCTGCACAAGCTGGAAGAGCTGATGGAGCTGGAGCAGAAGGTGCACACAGCCATGTTGAATCGGGCAGGGCTGCTGGCCCTGATGCTTCACCAGACCATCCAGCATGACCCACTCACCAGCGACCTGCGCTCCAAAGTGGACAACTGAGCCCTGCTCAACTGAGGTCCTGTACTTAACACCCTCTGCAAGGGTGGCATTCCGTGAATTCTTTACATACCTCTTTCTCTCACCACTTTTTTCTCGGGCATCTCAGAGTTTCTCGGTGCTTCTCTGTTCACTGTTTGGTCTCCTGTCTCTGTCTATGCCTCCTTGGGAGAGTGGTCCTCAAAATTTCTGTCCGTTCTTCTATCCCCCTTATTATCCTGAACCTGGGCGAGGCCAGGGGATCTGCCCTGCCCTCATCTCCCACTGTTCAGAGTTATATTTACAAATTTTAGAAGAACAAGAGATTTTGATATCCCCTGATAGCCCTTCAGCTTGTCTCTCTGGCCACAGGACCCAGTTCCAAAACTTCAACTACAGTTGGTGGTAGTTGGTGGCTGGGCTGCTTGGTGAGTCCTTTTCTGTCAGGGGAGACGTGACCTTAGGTGCCATTGACCCTTGTTCCCCACAGTCCCCCATCCCAGGCCATCAGGTATGTAATTGGCACCTGATGAGTGTACTTTGACCGACTTCTGTGTAATTGTTAATACTCCCCAGGCCAGAGGTGCTGGGAAAATGTTGGGATGGGGGAATAGGTGAGTGTGAGACGACCTCCCTGATGATTCTGCTTTGGAATGCTGAGAATTCAAGTTGTCACGGCAGTTGTGCCCCTGCCCCCACCCATCTTGGTCCACTCTTTACCATACCATGAGGTCCCAACCCTTTCTGTCAGCCTTGGCCCCTGCCAGTCCAATCCGGGTCCGTCTGTCTCCCGCTAGACCTGCCCCATCACATCTGCTCTCCTGCTACCACCTTGCTCTGGGTCTTCCCTTTCCAGCCAGCTTTGCCCATTGAGCCCCTGTCTGGTTGTGCCCATTTCACACCTGCAGGGTTGCCAGGAGAGAACTGGGTCCTCTGCCACATCTGCCTTTGCCAGCCCCAGCCAAGCCTCCAGTGCCAGAGGAGGTGTGTCCAGTAATGCTGCCAGTGGGTGTTGGTATGTCTCAAATGGTAGACTTGAATTACTCTTCCTGTTCTTTCTATACTCACTGGTCCCTAATGGATTTTTTTCATTAATTTTCACAATAACTTTTTTTCCCCAGGGACTCACATATTTTACCTAAATATTTAAACATGTTACTCAAGACATATACCTCATATTCCACAATAATGCATGTATTAATTATTTAATTCACTGCCTACCTGGTGCAATATCTTCTTTTTTTGATTACTGATATTATATTTTTTCCTTTCTTTTCAATTTGATCAGATTTCCCAGGGACTAATCCATATAATTAACTATTTGAAAGGATTAGCTTTTTATTTTATTTATATTCCCTAAGTTTATATTTATTTAATTAATTTATTTAAGCTTTTATTTTTAATTGCCACTTCTTGATTTTCTGTTCTATGTTTCCTTTTTATTGTGTTTGCCTAGTTTTGTTCTTTTTCTAATCCCTTGAATCAAATTCCCAACTTGATTAGGATCCAGTCTTTTGAATAGTAAAGGTTTTGAGAGCATATACTTTTTTTTCCCTTAAATGTAGCTGTATCTCGTAAACTCTGGTATGAAAGATGCATTGTCAAAATTGATTTCTCCCTTTGATCATAGCTATTGAGGAACATTTCTTAGTTTCTAACTGGTTAAAATAGTTTGGTTATTTTTTCTTTCTTTTTTTTTGGTAATTATGATTTTAGTATGATCAGAGAATGTAGCCTATTGAACCTGAATTTGTAAACATTACTCAGGATTTTCTTTGTGGCCCAGATTACTCAACTGAATTTTGTAAACCTTTTATGGATATGAGAGAAGAAACTATACTCTTTGTTAGGTGCATAAGGACTTTTCAATGTAGTTTGATGATTAACATTTCTTTACTCTGATTTTTGTCATTTTGTCTACTCCAGCTATTATCAAAAGATAGAATAAATGTTATAATAGTTTAAACAAATAGCTCGTTGTAGTTTTGTGGGGTTTTTTTTAAGGGGGGGAAGAGGAATCCCAAAGTAAATATCTTAGTCCATTTTGTGCAATGCCCCTATGTGTTTTCCTTGTTGACTGCTTTTGACCTTGAATTTTCTTCGGTAAGTACGTCATCACAGCTCCTTTCATTTTGCTGCCACTAACCTGGTTTATCTTTGTCTAAAACTTTTATTTTGCATTTTCTCTTTAAGATCTACTTCTTGTAACTGTATGTAAGTGTATTTTTTTGCCCTAATCCCACATTTGTGTCTTGAGATTCAGTCCATTTAAATTTGTATAATTATGATAATCTTATCTTTTTATATCATATTATCCTTATTATCAATTTTACTATTTCCTAAATATAACTTTTATTCTTTTCTTCTTCCCAGTAGCTTAATGAAGTTTCTATTCAGCTTTGTCCTCCTCCCTAACCTTATTATTTTGGTAATTTTTATGTTTACTAACTGTCCTGTTATGTAGTTTTTCCTTTCTAACAGGCATGATTTAATTTCTGTTTTCTCTATTATTTGATCAGAATATAATGAACCTTTGATTGCAGAGAAAGATGCTCTATCACCCATATTTGCTTCAGCAAGATAAGCGGTATTATTTCTGGATTTTTCTAGAAAAACTTAAACTGCTTATTTGAAGACTATATTTTTCTTAGGTTAAGTCAATTCTGCTTCAAGAAAACTTGAATATTTTCATTCAAAGTCCTCAGTGACTTTATTTATCGTGATTTAATTATAGCTATTTGAATGTGTACCTGAGGGTGTGCATTTTGCCACAGCAATCCTTGCTAGCCACTGCTTTGCTCTCTTATTTTGAGATCTATCTTCTGATTTAGTATTCATTTATTTAGAATACTTTCCTTTAGTGTTTTCCTCAAATAGAGTAAACTGGTGGAAGAGTCTTCCAATTACTTCATGTCTTAAGCTGTCATTCTTTTGCCCCAAGGGATTGTTTCTTGGGAAGGGGTACAGGATCTCTGCATTAGAGTCCTTATTTCTCCATGGTCTGTGGGAAGCAGCTTCCAAGACGGGTCCCAAGGATCCCTGCCTCCTGGTATTCATGGTCTTGTGCAATTCCTTCCATTTGAGTAACTTGCTTCTAACCAATAGCATGCCTTAATACTGAGGAGATACCACCTTTGTGATTAGGTTACAAGAGATTGTAGCTTTTATCTTGCTAAGGCTCTCTCCCTTGCTGGATTTAGTGAAGCAACTTGCCATGTTGGGGAGGCTTGTATAGTAGGGAACTGAGGGTGACCTTTCACTATCAGTCAGTAAGAAACCGAGGCTTTCAGTCCAAATGAACTGAATTGTGCAAACAACCATATAAATGAGCTTGGAAGTAAATTCTTCCCCAGTTGAGCCTTCATATGAGGCCCCAAATCTAGCTGAGACCTCGACTGCAGTTTCATGAGAGACCCTGAAACAGAGGATCAGGCTAAGCTGTGCCCAGATTCCTGAGCCACATAAACTATGAGATAATAAGTATGTGTTGTTTTAGGCCACTGAATTTGTGAGGATGTGGAACCAAGTAATCAGGGACTAGAAGGTCAGTGATTTTGTGAAGGACACTAGGTTGGTTTCTGGAATGAAAGCCGTTAATATCCTTCAGGAATGGTCAGTGTTTGGCTGCTCCATAAGTCAGTTTTAGAAATTGTGTGGGTCAGTAATTGGCAGTCTGGGAAGATGGACGATCGGAAACCTGCTGGGGGTGTGGCACTGGTGTGCCTGTGTTGGGCATTATTCAAGGTTCCCGTGGTCATCACTGTGGATTAATGATATGAGGAGCCCGGGCCATGCCAGTGATTGGGGGACTTTGCAGTGTCCTCTGGCAGTCCCTGTAGCCCAGCCATGGGTGGATTCTGAATGATTGGCAGCCAGAGAAATCAGGGGCATGATCTCAGGAATTTTGGACCTCAGGTGACCAGAGATCAACTTTCCCAAGTTGGTCAGTTATTGCAGGGGCGTGACATACACCTGGTTTCCAGTGTCCAAAAAGGGGGTGAGGAGAGTGAGTTTGAGTTTTCATCTCTGACAGAAGAGGAAGGGCCAGGAAGGTTGCCCTGGATGTGCACTGAAATAGGCAGAAGCTCAGTTTAGTCACACAAGATACTGTCCCTCCTCGCCCTGAGCTCTCTGAAGACAATGGAAAATAGGCATATTGTTCTGACCCTGTATGGGGTTCAGAATCGCGGAGTGGCTGAGTGTGGGCACTTGGGAGTCAGCTGACTTGACTGGAGTGTTTCCTTGTCCTCCTTGCTAGCAGCAGTGTGACCTGTTGGCAAATGACTTAGCCTTGCTGTGCTTCAACTGCTTCTACTGTCAAACGGTCCTAGTGATAATCATTGTCATGTAGCTGGCAAGGTTGCAGTGAAAATTGCGAGGCACAAGGCCTCAGGGAAGGGGCAAGTGTGTCACAGAAGCATTAGATTCTAGACTCGCTGTCCCTGAGACAGATCGCCATCCTCTTTGCTGTGTCAGCACCACGTGGCTGGTGTCCCACACCCAGAGCCCTGCATATTTCAGTGGAAAATGTGATGCAGCTGATGGAGGAAAAGTTGGCAAGGTCCCGGCGTGGGCAACCACCGGTCCCAGCCAGGGAGACGCTACCCTCCTGACACCCAGTGCAGGCCCTTCACTCCCCACTGGCTCAGTGCGCATGCTCAGCTGATCCCCACCAGCGCTTCCTCTCTCCCTGACCCTTGGGGATTTGCTGATTTCTCGGCTGTCCTGACATAGGGCAGAAAAACCCCTTCTTTTTGGAATTTAGGGGGTTGCGGGGCAGTAGGGTGGCCGCAGTCTCTAGGGCCCTTCTCCTTCTTCCTCTTCCTTTCAAAAATGAGTAAAATGGCCTGAGAAGGTCACGTGACTTGTCCAGGCCTCTTGGATAGTGAGTGACGGGCAGTGGGCTGGAACCAGGTGTCCCGACTGGGTCCTCCACCCTCATCACACTACAGCCAAGACCAAGTTTCCCAGTAGAAGTTCCCCTCGAGATTCTGTTAACAGAGGAAGATGAAGAGGGAGCCAGACCCTGCCCCACAGCTGCCTCCTTCCCACCGTCCTGTGGA